GGGTTTGGGCAAAATATGACCCATCGCCGTTTTCGGTAATTGGCATATTTTCGGTATAAAAAGTCGTAATTTGAAACTGAAAATAGGTGCAAAGAGTCAGAATTCGGATAAAAAATCACGCTCAGGAGTCAAATTTCCGACATTTCTTACATTTTGAAAACTGCAGGGGGGTTCGGGCAAAATATGACCTATCGCCGTTTTCAGTAATTGGCATATTTTCGATATAAAAAATCGTAATTTGAAACTGAAAATAGGTGCAGAGAGTCAGAAGTGTGCTCAAAAATCACGCTCAGGATTCAAATTTCCGACATTTCAGACATTTTGAAAACTGCAGGGGGGTTTGGGCAAAATATGACCCATGGCCGTTTTCAGTAATTGGCATATTTTCGGTATAAAAAGTCGTAATTTGAAACTGAAAATAGGTGCAGAGAGTCAGAATTCGGATAAAAATTCATGCTCATCAGTCAAATTTCCGACATTTCAGGCATTTTGAAAACTGCAGGGGGGTTTGGGCAAAATATGACCATTCGCCGTTTTCAGTAATTGGCATATTTTCGGTGTAAAATTCGTATCTTGAAACTGAAAATAAGTGCAGAGAGTCAGCATTCGGCTCAAAAATCACGCTCAGGAGTCAAATTTCCGACATTTCAGACATTTTGAAAACTGCAGGGGGGTTTGGGCAAAATATGACCCATCGCTGTTTTCAGTAATTGGCATATTTTCGGTATAAAAAGAAGTAATTTGAAACTGAAAATAGGTGCAGAGAGGCAGAATTTGGATAAAAAATCACGCTCAAGAGTCAAATTTCCGACATTTCAGACATTTTGAAAACTGCAGGGGGGTTTGGGCAAAATTTGACCCATCGCCGTTTTCAGTAATTGGCATATTTTCGGTATAAAAAGTGGTAATTTGAAACTGAAAATAGGTGCAGAGAGGCAGAATTTGGATAAAAAATCACGCTCAAGAGTCAAATTTCCGACATTTCAGACATTTTGAAAACTGCAGGGGGGTTTGGGCAAAATATGACAAATCGCCGTTTACAGAAATTGGCATATTTTCGGTATAAAAAGTCGTAATTTGAAACTGAAAATAGGTGCAGAGAGTCAGAATTCGCCTCAAAAATCACGCTCAAGAGTCAAATTTCCGACATTTCTGACATCTTAAAAACTGCAGGGGGGTTTGGGCAAAATATGACCCATCGCCGATTTCAGTAATTGGCATATTTTCGTTATAAAAAGTCGTAATTTGAAACTGAAAATACTTGCAGAGAGTCAGAATTCGGATAAAAAATCACGCTCAGGAGTCAAATTTCCGACATTTGAAACTGAAAATAGGTGCAGAGAGTCAGAATTCGCCTCAAAAATCACGCTCAGGAGTCAAATTTCCGACATTTCAGACATTTTCAAAACTGCAGGGGGGTTTGGGCAAAATATGACCCATCGCCGTTTTCAGTAATTGGCATATTTTCGGTATAAAAAGTCGTAATTTGAAACTGATAATAGGTGCAGAGAGTCAGAATTCGGCTCAAAAATCACGCTCAGGAGTCTAATTTCCGAAATTTCAGACATTTTGAAAACTGCAGGGGGGTTTGGGCAAAATATGACCCATCGCCGTTTTCAGTAATTGGCATATTTTCGGTATAAAAATTCGTAATTTGAAACTGAAAATAGGTGCAGAGAGTCAGAATTCGGATAAAAAATCAAGCTCAGGAGTCAAATTTCCGACATTTCGGACATTTTGAAAACTGCCGGGGGGTTTGGGCAAAATATGAAACATCGCCGTTTACAGTAATTGGCATATTTTCGGTATGAAACGTCGTTATTTGAAACGGAAAATAGGTGCAGAGAGTCAGAATTCGGCTCAAAAATCACGCGCTCAGGAGTCAATTTTCAGACATTTTGAAAACGGCAGGGGGTTTGGTCAAAATATGACCCATCGCCGTTTTCTGTAATTGGCATATATTCGGTATAAAAAGTCGTAATTTGAAACTGAAAATAGGTGCAGAGAGTCAGAATTCGGATAAAAAATCATGCTCATCAGTCAAATTTCCGACATTTCAGGCATTTTGAAAACTGCAGGGGGGTTTGGGCAAAATATGACCATTCGCCGTTTTCAGTAATTGGCATATTTTCGGTGTAAAAAGTCGTATCTTGAAACTGAAAATGAGTGCAGAGAGTCAGAATTCGGCTCAAAAATCACGCTCAGGAGTCAAATTTCCGAAATTTAAAACATTTTGAGAACTGCAGGGGGGTTTGGGCAAAATATGACCCATCGCCGTTTTCAGTAATTGGCATATTTTCGGTATAAAAAGTCGTAATTTGAAACTGAAAATAGGTGCAAAGAGTCAGAATTCGGATAAAAAATCACGCTCAGGAGTCAAATTTCCGACATTTCAGACATTTTGAAAACTGCAGGGGGGTTTGGTCAAAATATGACTCATCGCCGTTTTCAGTAATTGGCATATTTTCGGTATAAAAAGTCGTAATTTGAAACTGAAAATAGGTGCAGAGAGTCAGAATTCGGCACAAAATCCCGCTCAGGAGTCAAATTTCTGAAATTTCAGACATTTTGAGAACTGCAGGGGGGTTCGGGCAAAATATGACCCTTCGCCGTTTTCAGTAATTGGTATATTTTCGATATAAAAAATCGTAATTTGAAACTGAAAATAGGTGCAGAGAGTCAGAAGTTGGCTCAAAAATCACGCTCAGGATTCAAATTTCCGACATTTCAGACATTTTGAAAACTGCAGGGGGGTTTGGGCAAAATATGACCCATCGCCGTTTTCAGTAATTGGCATATTTTCGGTATAAAAAGTCGTAATTTGAAACTGAAAATAGGTGCAGAGAGTCAGAATTCGGATAAAAAATCACGCTCAGGATGTAATGACCCTGATTGTAATAACTCGCCTTGTATCTATCTCGACCGCGCACTCCGCTACTACCACTGAGCTAACCGTGCAATCTCCGCTCTTTCTATGGTAATAACAGATGCTATACCGATCATATAAGATGTTAACACTCGGGCCGTCATACGAAGACGTAAACCAGTACACAGAGGAAGGAGAGAGAGAGGAAGAGGGAGGCAGAGCGAGAGGAGAGAGAGAGGAGAGCGAGAACGAGAGCAAGGGAGGGAGAACGAGAGCGAGTGAGGGCGAGGGAGAGTGAGACACTAGTGAGGGAGAGTGAGACAGAAAGATAGAGATAATCGTAGTCACAACCTATCGTATGAGTTACCGAGTGACGCTGCCACCACCCTGAGTTACCGGACAGGGGACCGGAGTGAGAGTCGTAGGTCTTGCAGATGGAGTAACCTACCAGGACAGGTGTAGGGGACAATTGAACGGTACAAGGATCCTGGCCTGACACTCGAATAATCCTGACCACTTGGGAACTATAGTGTACACAAGAATAAGGCGGGACACACCAACACTAATACCTCAACACGGAAGACGAACGGGGGGAGGAGTACTGAATAATTAAGAGCACTAGGTCACTAGAGCAAAGGGGACGGTAGGCCCAATATCACTAAAGCAAGGAACCATTAATACACATTTAATAACACTTAATATCTGACTTTATTTGAAATAATTAAATAAGACACTCCCTAACTATATTCCCTACTAGAGGCCAAGGGTACTGAATGAGGTGCTTTAGTACAAGAGAGCCGTACTTACTCGTATGTTGTTCCACAGTTTCCCTGGAGATGATGTTCTTTCCCAGAGTCCACACACACCTCCCTACTGGGCTGTGCCCACTCAACTGACTCTCCTGATCTACTGCTCCTCAGCTGAACATGAGGGTTTTGCATTTGTTGTTTAGGGGTTAATCCCTGAAGATTACCATGACGGCATCAATTCTGACCTCTTTGTGATTCGATGACCGTTGACCTGACTCTATGGCTAACTTGTACAGAGGTGTAACTTTTTACATTGTCTGCCGCCGCCTGTCTGGCGCCTGTGGGTTGTTCATCCTCCACGTGGCCTGTTCATGCTGTTATGATGTTCATGTACTATGTACTGCTCTCTTGTTACATATCCCCCAATGTCCCGGTTTAAGAAAAACCGTGGGCGAGGAACTCGAACATGGCTTTTCTTATCCCAGACCACAAAGGAACTAGCACATGCCTCGAAAAAAAAAATAGCTACCCTATCTAAATATACACATCTCACAGTCGAGAAATATTTATAAAAACTCTCAACAATAACAGTTACCCTGTAACTCAAAATCCAGGCTGACCATACCTGCATGGCAGCCCATCAATCCTCTCAGATGACAAATCAACATTAATTTGAGAAACAAAAATTAACACAATTTATGACAAACAATGAAATTTATACTGGAACCATCTTTCCGCTGGTTCCCCAGTTCACCAGAGTCTACACAAAAATTGTCATTCATAACTTATTTTCTCTGTAACGGTGAACACCAAGTTTTCTGAACTTAAAAACAATTACATATATATTGTATATACAAATTAACAAAGTCTTTATTCCCGACGAGTCCGTTGTCCCGATGTTGTTGACTCGCCCATTGCTGTATTCTTGCTGTAGTTCTGCAACGATGCGTCGTGTTCTTCACCAACGATGTTCTTCAGCTGGCCTCAGTTGTTGTGAGAAGAGATCCACTCCCCTCCTGACTAGAGTCTTCCACTGATCTAGTCCACAATCCGCAGTACATCCGCGCTGCTGGTCCATCCTTCCGGGTCGTCGACGAGGCGATGACGTCGGTGTTGACAGCGATGATTGACTTGCTGTCCGGTCACAGGGGGAACTCTGGCGTACCTGGGTTCCATCCTCTTGTAAGATGTTGTCGTCTGCTGGCGATGTTCTGCCTGCCGCATACATGTTGACTTCCTGGGAGTACTGAGACGTTGACACCAGACGAGGTCTTGCTTGATGAGTGAACAGCTCCAGTTCGTTGAGGCGGGGTGGGCGTGGCGGCAGAACCCTCGGGTTCCGGCTCCAGCTCTTGGGTTCCATCCACTTACAGGTGTGTCTTCTGCTACGTCGTACTAGGCCTTTACGACTTTCTTCGTTATCCCATCATGCACATGATTGTAGGCCCAAGATGCAAATCGTGCATCCGCGTTGGCGTATCATGCACACTCTAGAGGGAACGTGCTGTTCTTACGTAGCCACCAAGTTTCACATCTTGTTGCTCGGCGCATCAGAAACCTCAGGAGTGGGCAAGACCTTGTGTAATCCCGCAACCGTTGCCCAATCCACTCCGTTGTTCTTGGCTGTTCATTTCCGGTCACCGGTGTTCTTTATAGCAAGGCAGGTGACCTCATTAATGTCTCGTCTGATATGTTGAATCAGTCCTCCAGATGACAGCTAGTGTTGGCAGTTCCATAACCTCATTAAGTGATGAGGTGTTGGCTGTGACCTTGACTTGTAGCCGCCCCCACCATGGCAGGTACCACTAATAAGGGTGGGGGGGTGAGGGATGGAGGGGGTGATGTAGTGTGACCCGTCCTGTCCCTCGGGAACTAAACCTGGTTCCCGCCAGACAATAGCGGTGACATGCTACTCTGGCCTCAGTTGTAGAGATGGGATATGGCCGACAGTGTGGCAATGTGAGCAGACCTGGGAAAAGAAACATTCATAACTCATGTCTGGTGGAGACCTGGATCTGCCCTGGAGGTTTTGAGAAAGATAACTCCTCCAGGGTAGGTAAAGGTACGTCACTCTTGACTAAGCACCTACAGTACAATTCTTTGCCTCTACCTATAACTCAGATGACAGCTGAACTCAGTTACTGTGCGCTCATGTGCGCGCGAGATCTGGTGACCATAGGGTGACCAGGCCTAACTTGGCTACTAAGTAAGGATGATAGGATGTCATCATCCTCCTCCGATTGAGCATCAGGAATAACCATTCCCTCCACTCTCTCAGGGACTGGAATTACTGAAGGTAATTCCAGTTCTTCCCTTGCTACATAAAGTTTCAATTTATTTATATGGATGGTTCTTTCAACCTGGTCTTCAAATATACCCTTAATTATGAAATTTACTGGGCCTAGTTTCTTAATAACTCTATAAGGGCCTCGCCATCTAGCTGCTAACTTCCTACTCTGATTGGCGGGCGCTGACTCATTCAACCGCATCACTAGGCTTCCCTCTTTCACTCTTAATGGTTGTACCTGCTTATCATAATAATGGGCATACCGTGTCCTTGCTTTCTTTGATGCTTCAGCTGCTATCCTCCATGCATTCTTCATCTTGGTGAGGATTTCTGAAGGATAATCCTCTCCATAACTAATAGTATGTCTGTTAAGCAGACCTGACGCAAAATTACACGAGTGTCCAGTAAACAGCAAGAGTGGTTGAGTATTTATTGACTGGTGCACTGCGGTGTTTAGTGCAAACTGAACAAAGGGCAACTGTTCATCCCAAGTGGCCGGGTCATTCTCTGCTAAAATGGCAAGCATATCCTTCACCGTTCTATTAGTTCGTTCCACCATGCCGTTCGTCTGGGGATGGTATGCTGTTGTTAGCGCTGTTGTTGTCTCTAAGAGTTTACATACTTCCTGAAATAAGCTACCAATAAACTCCTGTCCCCTGTCAGATACTAGAACTTTCGGCGGACCAAACACAGTAACAAACCTTGCTAAAAATGCCTCTGCCACTGTTTGGGGGTCTTTCCTGGGAAGGGCTACTAGAGTGGTATACCTGGACAGATGGTCCACTAGAACTAGCGCATATCTGTTGCCTGAATTGCTGCTATGTAAATCAATTAAATCAGCCCCCACCCGATCCAAGGGTTCTGCTATCTCTGAGAATTCCTGGAGTGGGGCTTGTACTTTAGGAGTACCTTTGCGTCGTTGACAGTTCCCACATGACCTCACGTACTTAATTACATGTGATAATAACCCTGGGAAATAAAATAATGACTTGGCCTTTGTGTAAGTTTTGTACACTCCCGGGTGACCTGCAATCTTTGACGCATGCGCAAGTTTTAATGCTGAAGGCTTTAATGCGTCAGGGATAACTAGCTGAAACAACGCCCTGTCTTTCTGGGCATTTACATGGTACAACACTCCTTCTTTGAGTGCAAAGTCATTTAAAGAGGTACTTTGTTTTCTCGAAGGATATTTCCCTCCTTCCAGATGTTCAATAATTTCCTTCCATCGCTGTTCCTTCATCTGAAGTTCTCTCATTTTATCGCTCGCAATCGTTTCAATGTTTACATTCATATTGATGGTGGCAATGTTCCTACTTAACGCATCAGGAACAACATGAGATGGACCAGGCTTATACAATATCTGAAACGAGTGTGCTGACAGTTCGTGACCCCACCTTGTCATTCTCGGGCAACGTGTCTTTTTCTTAAAAATGTGGGTCAATGCTCGATGATCAGTATAAATTATGAAGTGACGCTGAAACAAATAAGGCTCAAAATACCTTACACTCTCTACTACAGCTAAAGCTTCCTTGTCAGTGGCTGAGTACCTTACTTCCGGTCCTTTCACTTTCCTACTAAAGTAAGCTACCGGGTGCGGGTTGTTCTCCGAGTCACGCTGTATTAAACAGCCACCTATGGCAATACCGCTAGCATCAGTGTGGACTTCCCAATCTTTCTCAAAGTTAGGAATTGCTAAAACTGGAGTAGTACTCAATTGTAATTTTAACTTCTCAAAAGCCTCATCATGCTCTCGGGTCCATACAAACTTAACATTTTTCTTAGTGAGATTCGTCAGTGAAGCTGACGTTCTCGCAAAACCTTCTATGTGTCGACGGAAATACCCAGCTGCACCCAGAAATCTTCTCACGTCCTTTGCTGTCTTTGGTGTTGGCATTTCAGCAATAGCGCGACAAGAGTCCGGGTCAGGGCGTATTCCATCTGTGCTTACCTGAAAACCCAGAAACTTGAATTTCTGAGCCGCCAGGGTACACTTTTGGGCGTTCAATTTGAACCCCGCCTTGTTCAACAGCGACAAGGTCTCTGTCAAATCATGGAGGTGTTCGTCAAAAGTTCTAGAGTACACTACAACATCATCAAGGTACGCCAATGAGTGCCTACCAAGAACAGGGCTCAGAATATAATTTATCGCCCTCTGAAAAGATGAAGGAGCTGTTTTTAATCCAAATGGCATACGCTTGAAATGGTAAGTCCGCACACCATCCGAAAATGCTGTTTTTTCTCTGTCTTGCTTTGCAACTGGTATGGCCCAATACGCTGACTTTGCGTCAAGTGTCGAGAAGTACTTAGCTGTGCCAAACTGGTCTATGATTTCCTGAATGAGAGGCAGAGGATAAGCGTCCGCTGTTGTCACTTCGTTCACTTTACGGTAATCTACACAGAACCTGTAACTACCATCAGGTTTGCGTACTAGCACTACTGGGGAAAGCCACGGTGACGTGCTCTCTTCTATAACGCCCTGTCTCATCATCTTTCTACACTCATCTCTAATAAGTTGTTTCGCCTGCTCTGGGAGTCTCCATTGACGTGTTTGGGCCGGAGGATTATCACCTGTTGGAATGGTGTGTTCGACTTGAGGCAGGTAGCCTATTTCCTCATCCTCGGTCGCAAATAACCTAGGAAATTTACGGAGGACTTCCCGTACCTGTTTACGTTCAGCAGGTGACATATGAGTCAAATCTAGAGCAGTTATTAATTTGTCCACCATTTCCTTATCTTGAGGAGATAACGGGGTTTCTTTACCGATCTTACTGTGTGACTCCTCGTCTCTTACGTTCAATGCGCTACATTGCGCTGTTACAGTCGATGTTTGTGTGGTATCTGACTCTATTATTTCTTTTAAATTTACCACAATTCCTTGTGTCAGACTATCGCCTACCCTAAAGCGATAAGGTTTGTGAGAGAGGTTGACCACTGGTATTATCGCACCTTTGTCATGTACAGATACCAGAGTATATGGTATCATCAACTTATCAATTCTGCCAGCTACCTGAAGGGTACTTCCGGGTTGAATGTTTCTTCCTACGGCGACTTTAATAAACTTAAATGACCGTGGTGGACATACTTGTCTGTGTACAGCATGTAGTCTACATGTTTTCTTGTCAGGGTCTTGAAGAGACTTGAACAATTGTTTAGGAAGGTTTACATATTTAGGTGCTCGTTGAATTGAAGCAATTATGGGAGGGTGATCAGTTAACTTTACTGGGAAAGACACAGATCCCAACTGTAGCCTACTGTGTCTTGCTCCCTTCTCCGATGTCAAAGAATATGTAAATCGTTTCAAAAAATCCATGCCTAACAATATATCACCAGGGAATGTTACATTATCCACCACAGTACACTCATGGATACAAGGTTTGTCTTTTTCAATGTTAAAAGTTAAAATACATTTTCCCAGAACGTCAAAGTGTTGACCATTGACAGCTGTTAATTGTGCACCCCCTTCCTTAAGGCGCACCTGACTGAAGGTCCTAAATGAGTCCATCTTAATGATGGTTACCTGACTACCAGTGTCCAGGAATGCAGTCAACCTCTTCCCGCACACCCTCACTTCAAAAGTGGGCCGCCCTTCCTCCTTGGGGGCCTTATCTCATATTTCCTCATTACTATTGGGGCAGTCATCTCGTTTGTGGCCTCGTCCGCCACAACTCCAACACCTGGGGTCATAGGTGTAGTACCAGTGAGGAGGCGGACCTGCTCTATGGTGCCCTCCCCTCTGGTTGCTAGAAGAGTTACCTACACTCTCCTTAACACGATGCGAATTGTTCGTATCTACCGCTTGGACATAAGAGGATTGTCTAGTTTCAGTTGTATCCTTACACTGCCCCTGAATGTTTTGTAAGTCCGTAGCGTACTCTATTAAACTATAGTAATCCATCGTTACACTTGCAGCCGAAACGTGAGCTCCAAGTGTCCCGGGGATTGACATACACAACAGTTGTTTAGCCTTCTGACTAATTCTCAGGTCATCGTATCCTAATTCATGCCTCAAGTCACGCACTCTACGCAATATGCCAGTTCCAAAGTCTTTGAGAGTTTCGTTTGAGCCTCGTTTTAAACTAGCTAAATACCTATTAGCTGTTTCCTCTGTTATTTTCTCTTTATATCGTCTCTTAATTGCTAACACAAACTCTGGCCATGTTTGCAAATATTGAAACTCTTGGTCCTGCATTATTGAACCATTAGGGTCTATACACGCTCCTGCTGCTAAATTAATTTTTACCCAGTCATCCTGGGCAGCTGACAAACATGAACCTACTTGCCCTAGCCAGTCGTCTATTTTCCGGTTACGTTCCACTATATTTGTTGGTAATTCTTTGCAAATTAGTTTGGGTAACACTGGTCTAGGCAATGAGAATGATGACAATGGGGGCTGACGCATACCATGAGACGCAGGGGGCATGGAGTGTAGATGTTGGCAATGGTTAGGGAAGGGTTGGTAATGGGGAGGGAAGGGTTGGTGTAAGGTAGAGTTATAGTGATGGTCAGGTGGGGGGGAGGGTTGGGTGGGGTGGTGGTGTGAGGTAGGGGATTCTAGGGGTTGGTTCTGGGCAAGGCATGAGATGGTAGAAGAGGGTTTGGTCGTCTGACCAAGGTTGGGGTTGCGAGGGGGGAGAGGTGGGGTGGTATTGGTGGGGACAGTCACCTGACCGGACCCTTGGGTGGACCCCTGGGTAGGCGTATGTAAGCGCCCTGCCGTAAGGTTCACATATAGGGGTTCAGAGAGGCGCTTCCTAATTTCTGAGGATGGGTAAGGTGGGAGGGGGGGTGGTTGGGGAGGGGTATGTGGGGAAGGTGCAGGCCGCCGCGCCCCTGGGGTGTTGGGTTGGGAGGTCGGTCTGGGAGGAAGTGGGGGAGGGGTGATGTCATTAGGCTGCAGAGTATCAGGGGTGGACAAAGGACGGCTACCCAGCATGTGACCTGATGTGACCCCATCACCTGCACCTTGTGGATCGTCACCTGACTCTTGAACCGTGCTATCCACTTGGACAGCCTGTCTCGGCTGTATTGCTAGAAGGTTCTGTTGGCTAAGCCCTCCCTGACTCCTTAAAGCCCTATCTGAACTCATGATGCCAATAAACTACGTCTGAACGACTAGTTCACCGGACTAGCGCTGACCCAAAAATGTTGAAAAAAAAAAAAAATCTTTGGAACTAACAATGATTCACTGAGAACAAGACAAAAACTCACAACGTCGTTATAACTAGCCCCTTTACTTAACAAGGGTGGTAATTTCAATGTCACTTCTAAAACAAAACAAAAACGTAATTACTTTTCAATCTGCCTGCTCTTATGACAGATAATAATCGATATTACTTTCACCGCGTTGAGACAACTTCTCCTACGCGATACCAATACACAATTTCCCACGCACTATTCATTAACAATAATTCACTGATAGAAACTATTTGTACTTCCTATCGGGAAACTGTAATTACTGCTCGTATGAGCTTAACTAATAGTTACTCTTACTCCTTAAACCTACAGCCACATCACGTGACCCAGAGTGTTTTCCTAGCTTCTTCGCCGGTCAACAACTCAAAACTTTTGCCACTCCTGTGACCAGACTTCAAACGCCAGGCGTCCCTAGACGTGAGTCAACTGACACACTAGTCCACACTAGCATGCTGTACAATACCAGTACACCTCAGAT